CGCCGAGCAGGGAGCCCGATGCGGGACTCGATCCAGGGACTCCGGGATCATGACCTGAGCCGAAGGCAGCCGCTTAACCAACTGAGCCACCCAGGCGCCCAAATTCAGGAAATTTTTAATAAAAATTCAGATTTCTTGCTTGTGGTTTCTGCCCAGCTCTTAAATCTATTTGACTTTGTGATCTCAGGCCTAAATGATTCACACATGACTTAGTGGTTGCGGGAAGACTGTACAAAGGCTTTCAACTTTGGATAAGTGGATTCTCATATAAACACAGAGAATATTTAACTTACTTGCGAGTTCCTAGGCATAATGCATAGGTTTATTTAAAAACAAACCAAAAAAATTGAAGATTCACATTGCCTTTGTTTCATAGTTTAGATCCGGGACCCACGAACATTTTCTGTAAAGGGCCAGATAATAAATATTTTCAGTTTTGCATCGCAGGTCATATGGTGTTTGTTGTAGCTACTCTGCCCCTGTAGTGTGAAAACCACCGTAGACAGTACATGAACAAAGGAGTGTGGCTGTGTTCCAATAAAACTTTATGAACACTGAAATTTGAATTTCATATAATTTTCATGTCACAAATTTTTTTTTTTGCCTTTTCTCCCCATTATTTAAAAATGCAAAAACTTCTTACCTCATGGGCCATTCAAAGAACAGGAGGCTGACTTCATCTGGCCTGTAGGTCAAATGGACATTAGATGATTGTCATTGTCAAGTCTTGGTCTTAGGCTTTTTAGACTGGACTAGCCCCAAAGGAACAAGCTAGGGTGTTCTGCCCTTTGTGTAGTGCAAGGGAATTCTCCTTTCCTCACTTTTTCATATTCAGAGGGGGCTGGATCGATGTCCTGCTTGAACATGGAAGTGCCAAGTTGCTCACCTTGCATTTCCCAAAGCCTCAGAGGCCAGTCTACATTTCAGACAGCCCAGGTGATGAGTGAGCCTTGTGTTTTCCATGAGGAACTCTATCCCTAAGCATCTATATCCCAGCCATACTTGTGCAGGGAAAAGGCTAAAATCTATTAATATCCTAGCTAGAAAGAAAACTATAAAATTACACATATATGCAAGCTTGTGTGTATTCTGCAGTTCAAAGTGTAGTCAGCAAAAAAAGCATGCATGCTATTGCACTGGGAGGAAATCGGTGTCTTTGAAATCAAATACCCTCCCGTTGGCATATCCAGGCTTGAAACCCTGCTGCAGCTTTTAGCTTCCACCACATGTTTACATTGGAAATCTCTCTGTGCGCATATAGAGTTTGTTCTCTTATGAAATCATGTCTCTAGGGAAGGATAATTTAAAGCCATTTCCGTTTGTTATGTCTGAGCTGAACTAGACTATTAGGGCTTGTTAACGCTGGATAAACTTGAGCCCTATAACTGCCTTCATCTGCAGATTATAGAATCTGTCCAACAAATTGCATTCTGATGTTTTCAGATGAAGGCTAAGCAAGCAAGGGCCTTTTAATTTATATTCTATCACCATGGTTGTCTTAGGAATCACAGTTTTGACTTTCATGCCTACTTGGTAGAGCATAGATGATATAACTCTTGAATGGGCCAAATCCAGAAGTAACTGAGACACTAAACGACATCTGCATGCTGCTATAGCAGAGCAAGCAACGGCTGGCCATCAGGAAACTGCTGGCTAAGCACCTTTCTTCAGAGTATCTCCCTTCCCCCAGCTTCAGCATAAATCAGGGTTAGGTCCACTGAAATAGCGTGTGTGGTCTGCATTTAGAAATTTCATTTGAAAATTATATTGTGGCAACCATGAGACAGATGGATAAAGTAAAACAAGTTTTCTTTAGGCTCATGTTAAGTAAATAGAATTATGTGAAGATAGACAGTTTCCCTGGTGGAGTGAAGGGGAGGTGATGGTTGCCCCAGGGTAGCTAACTCCCTCCACCTCCATTCATCAAACCCACTAAACACACATACCCTAATGCTGACATTTAAGTATTTGGCTTATTATGATCCTCCATTTTAGATAGTGGGATATTAGAAGATAGAAATCGCATCTGTTTGGCTTCTTTTAAAAAAAAAATCTAGCAGACGGGCTCCTGGGTGGCTCAGTCAGTCAAACGTCCAACTCTTGATCTCAGCTCAGGTCTTGATCTCAGGGTTGTGAGTTCAAGACCCACATTGGGCTCCATGCTGGATATGAAGCCTAGTTAAAAAAAAAAAAAAATTTTTTTTTCTAACTCTAGCAGAGCTGCCAGCATAGCTTCCATCAAGTCTTGAGTAGGATGGTACTGGGCAGTAGTGTGACGATGGACTATGGCATCTCCTAACTCTAGAATAAAGAAATCTTCTCGTTGTGGCTCCAACCTTATTAATGGTGCCTTAGCTGAATTCAGTTCTTTTCAGTAAGCCTGTTGAAGACACTGTCCTAAGTCCAGAGGTTGATTGTGGTGGGGTAGGGTGGGATGGGAGAGAGAGACAAATGAAACGTGGACCTTCTCAAAAGGTGACTGTGTATATGAATCACCCCAATCAAGTCCAGATTCAAAGAATGCCAGAAATGAAGGGCAGATACAGAATGGAGACATTGAAACTAGGCTTTGGGTGGGAATGAGGGATTTGACTAGCAGGAGGAAGGAGAATCTGTTAGACTGAGACAACAGCATAAACAAAATTCCAAAAGTAGGAAAGTTCAGAATGTGGAGGGAGCATGGGAATACACTCTCCCCCTGCCTTCTTCCTTCCCTCTTTTCTTTATTTAATAATTATTTAATGAACACCTGTGGTATACCACACAGACACGGCCACTGTCCACACAAAGCTTACAGTCTAAAGGAGGAGACAGCCATGAATCAAAGAAGCCCAAAGTAAATGACAGATTACAGCTGTGATCCTTACCTCAAAGGTGAGTGTGCATTGGCTAAGAGAGAGCATTACAGGAGAATTTTACATACTTCCCAGGACTTTGCTGGGGAGATGTCCTGTGGCTAGAGGGGTAAGTAGGTGTGGGTTAGGGGACAGCATTGCATGAAAACAGGTCAGAGTGCACACTGCCCATATGAGACACTCTGAAAGTGAGGATATGTGCCATCTTAGGTGCAGCTGTCTGGAGAGTTAGGAAGCACACCAGGATAGGGAATTGGTCCTCATTCTATGAGTAAAGGGAAACCATTGACTTGTTTCAAGCAAATAGTGGGTTGAAGTGTGAGATTTGCTTTTTGGAAAGGTCGCTCTGGCTGCAGAATAAAGAATTAGAGGCATGGGGTTGGGGGGACACCCAGGAAGTCCCAGTGGGAAGCAGATGAGATTTTCCAGATGGCATATTCGGGTTGTTTGCCCTGGGGTAATGGTGGCGACGAGGAAGTGAAAGGAATGAATTCAAGGGCTGAATATGAGCTTGGTCTTGGAGTTTGTTGAGTTTGAGGTGCCTTTAAGACACTGAGAAGATATACCAGGAAGATATAGGGGTCTGGGCTGGAGATACACATTTCAGAGTCATCTCCCTGTAGATGGGATTCAAACCCTGAGTGTGGATGAATAAATGTTAGTTGAATGAATGAGCGATAGAATGAGTCAGGGGATGAGATTGGGTGAAGAGAGAACATAGAATAAGAAGAGGGCCTAGGGCGCCTGGGTGGCTCAGTC